TTAAAAAAACATCAGATATTTGAGTGAAAGCTAGCTTCAAGAAGCAATGATAACATCATTTACACTAGAATTATTTTTGGCTTATGTAACACATAGAAGAAACAAATTGAATTTTCAATAACCCTATAACCTTTCCAGTACCTTACTCTACCAAAAGTTTAGATGCAATGTACCAAGCTGTTTTTGTTGTAGGCTGGCAAGAGAATAATAGTAATAAGAATTAGAAACGAGCAGTTTTGAGCAGATTTTCTTTTCCTTGTAAGTCTAACATGCATGCTTTTTTTGTTAATTTTTATATGTGTACAGTCTTAGCAGTCAACAGTAAAGGTTTTAAAGTGTTGTTTGAACTGAATCTTTTCTATTTAAGATGTTTTTTGCTCAAACATTCTATAAGGGTTTTGTGCAATTCCTTGTGATCCCTATTATGAACCATGATTGTGGTTCATGATACAGAAGTAAAAAACCATAGATACAATATTGGCAAAGTTTAACTCAAGTCTTAAAAGGTCTATTTTGATGTTAAATTACCTCCTTAAAAGCCTTTGTTTTTATGCAAACAAAAATAATATTCTAAATAATACCTATAATTCAAAAGGTTTACATATAACCCAAGGCTATTTTTATTCACTCACACATACACATATTATAAAAAGATGTTTCCAGCAGTCAGAACAGTGCAACTCTAGCAATTCTTTATAAAACACCTCTTCCCCCATTAATGTTATACTGCATGTTTGAGCCCCTCCAAATGGTGGATTTTCAATGTTCCAATGACCTTTTAACACATGAAATTCAAAATATAAGAATGTATAGAACTTTATCTGCAGTATCTGTTTTATAAGATTGGCCAGTATCTATTCATTCCATATTGAAGTATAAAGCCCAGAAGTCTAGAAAAGATTTTCTATCTACCGGTGACCTTTTGACCTTGACCAATGAGATTCATCAATGTCCATCCATCCAATCTTGAGATATGCTATCCACAAAATTGGAACATACAGATCGACAAGGGCAAACCAATTAGTCCTGCTCTGCAATGCTTTGCAGCAGGGAACATAAAAATCATCTGCTAAATTATTAATTACCTTGCTCTGTCAACTGTTCACCAGAGAAAACGAGCACAAGCATACTAGCCATGTTGTTGCAAAATATATGGTCATGAAGTGGATGACATTTCTAGATTACATTCACACACACATACATATATATATATATATATGGCTTTCAGTACACAGTTGGTATAGGGGCACTACATATACATTATACTATACACACACATACACACAAACTAAAGTATCTTAGCAATTTAACAGAAAATTAATATCTATACAAAGCTTTAAAAGCAATGACTAATAACAATAAATATTTATCACAAGAACAAAAAGCAAAGGCCAAAGAATAGAATTTTAATAATGTAGGCACCAAAAGCTTATTATGATGCAAGAAAAATATCCTTTTCACATAAACAATTCCTTAACTTCTTCAAAGTTAGTCCTACAACTTGCAGTGATTTGTGTTTACCACATTCTTGTCTCATCAAAAATATTGTTTGCTCACTTTTTCTGCATGTGTGTGTATATGATAACTGGAGCATTTGTCATGTAATAAAATATACTCACGAACATAGGCTGAAATGTGTTGTCTTGATCAAGTTAAGCCGATGAACCAGAACCTGGTTAGTGTTTTCATCCACAACTGATTAAATCAACTTGACTTAAAACAAGACTGAGAAACACAAACTGTGACAGCTTTATTTCAAGTTTGGTCACTCAGGTCATGATCATGCTCTTCAACTGTATCTTGGTTACTTTCATTGCAGAATAAGAATATAATTTCTCACAAATTTGACAGGTACGAATTTCCCCAGTCTTCAATAGCGAGTTACAATCATACAATTTTAAATGCGATGTCCAAGATAATCTCATCATTAGGTTGCACAAAATTGATTTTATGTGACAAATTGTCATACACTGTTTTGTAGTTTAAAATAGAACACAACACATGGTTGGACTTTGTAATTTTTGACCATTTTCTTCCTTTAACCAGAGATTTGTTTGTTGTTAAGCATGAAGCTACACAATGGGCTATATCTGTGCTCTGTTACTGTGGGTATGAAACCAAATTTTTAGCGTTATAAGCTCTAAAACTTACCACTGAGCCACCAGGGAGCAAACTGGAGAGAAAAAAAACCTCATTGGAAATGTCTTTGATATTAGTTCATTTCTAAATGAACAGAAATTTTTTAAATGCAGTATGTATAAGACATAAATATAGAAATATATTGTAATACAGCTATGTATGCAAAGTCAATGTATATAAAAATATATCCTGTTGGCATTCTAATAATTTTACCTATTTCTTATTCTGAAATTATACCCAATACAAACAGGATAAACAGTAAAATACACATTTTTTAATAGTTTTAAGAATGAAAATAAACTCAATATCTCACTCAGTACTATTACTACTAGCTACAGTAATGTTACCTGCAGAATGTGCCCATCTTTGCCAGAAGAGTGATAGGATATAATGTTAATGAAAAGTACAGGATGACATAAGAAATAATACTAGATTGCAGAATTATAAGTTTAGATAAATTTTCTGTGATTCATTAATGTTAATGTCGCAGGGATAAAACAAATGTACATTAATCATTGAGTGCAAATGCTAAAGTCCAGCTTAGGACAAAGATATAATAGATGAATATATGTGTGTGCTTCTGTACTTGATAGTTAACCTGTCCTTATGTTCACTATCTAATTAAAAGATGCATAATACTTTTAAACATGTTGTATGGATACCAAAAATATCTACTTTCATTGCCCAAGGACAGGTTAACTATGACAGCTTCATGGCAGTAGTGGCTTTCTCAAACATGTACTGATTTAAAGCTATACTAATAGTCACAGATGCATAGTCATAAACTGATTTTTGATTTAAATCATATTCTCTATTCAAATAGTTAAAGAAAACCTAAAATGATTATCAACAAAATAAAAATAAATTTAAAAAATCAGGTCAGCAGAAATAGCATCAAGCTCATGGCTTCCATCTTCTTTCAACCTCTTGACTGCGTGTGTGTTTTCTTATAGCAAAGCCAAATCGAGCTATCTGTTGCATCCACCAAGGAGAATCAAATCCTGATTTTAGCATCGTAAATCTGAATACTTAGAGCTGTCCCACCAGGGTACAACTCTTGATCGAAGTAATAATTAAGTACTTAGTGAAGTGTGACTTTGAGAAGCAGAGTTTAATTGTTTATTTAGTAATTTTTGGAAAACAATTAGTTTAATTCCTATTCCAGTTCATGGAAACATCAAAATTGCATGCAAGTGCATTTTTCAGCAAAAATGAAC